CGAGAGATACACAGACAATAGACAACAAACACGAGAACACAATAAGACATAAGGCTGTTGGTTTACTAAACCGGTCTCTGGAGGGATGAAGGCTTTCTTTCGGCAGCAAGTCTCATACTCGCCTTAATCCTACATCGTAACAAACAATAAAACTTAAAAAACCTCTACAAATACCCGGATCTGATCATAAAAACATAAAAGTTCGCAACGAAAATCCAAAATCGACAGGCATCCCCACACTTCAGTACCTTCCTCTGAGATCTCCTCCTGATGAATCCTCCAGTACTAGAATCCACATCCTCACACGATCTCCTCACTCGACGATCCAATCCACCATACGTCCCGGCCCGGGATCTGTACACACATTATCTGGGCGCGGCAACAGGATATATTCCATCCCCATCGCGAATCCTCATCATCCTCTCCTCTCTCTCGATCTCCTCTGTTCCCGATCCCTCTCTCGCTCATGCCCTGCATGAATGAGTCCTCCAGGGAGTAACAGCGGATACACCGGTCCAACCTGATGTCCCGGCTCCCTCAGGAGGGGTTCCGGCCGGTCTCATCAGTAGGGGCTCCCGTCCTTGCCGGGCCAGTCCCTCAGCTCGGGCTCCAGTCTCTGGGCTGCTGCTGCTGCAGCGGCGGCCTGCTGCTGCTGCTGGAGGAGGTGCGAGGCTGCCTGCTGCTGCTGCTGCTGCAGCGGCTGCTGCGTGAGGCCGAAACAAGATTCCTTCCTGTCTCGCTCAAACGGCTCCCGTTCCCTCCTCCCTCCCGGCTGTCGTAGGAGCCGCGCGCGGACCTGGACCTGGGCCGGCTCCGCTCGGAGTCTGGAGAGCTGCGTCTGGAGCTTGTGGCTGGGGAGTCCTTGCCGGTCTGTGAGACGACAGAGACAAGTCAGCTTTGGTGTTTAGTCCTTACAAACAGTCCCCCTACAAGCAGTTTCCATGGGAATCTCATTATTTCTTACGACATAAAGTGTTCTTGTTTATCTAATTATTGTCACATGTTTATAGACTCCTGCATTTATTTCAGTTTCTTCTTTTGACTAATGTACCTGAGGAGGTGCTGCGGCTGGTGCTCTCCTCTCCTCATGTGCTGGTCGATACGGAGATTCCTCTCGACCCCGGGGGCGTCGTTCACCACCGGGCTCTCTCTCTCTCTCTTTCACCGGCTCTCATGTCCCGAGAGTTGGCGCACCTGCAGCCGGCCCCGACGAGCTCCTTGGGAACCTTGCGGATCTTCCTCGATTGGCCGGCTCGTTGGAGGGGATCTCAGGCGTTCTGGACGAGGTGCGGCTCTGGTTGCTCCCCATGCTGCTGCTGCGCGTCTGCTCCGGGCGGAGGTTTGCGGAGCAGGGTCTGGACATGAGGGGCTGCGGAGTCGCGCAGCAGGGTGTGGAGTCTGGTCTTGGGGCAATAGAGGAGCGTATGGAAGGAGGGTTGCCCCGCTCCCTGACCCCTTCTGGGACCTGCAGCTTTCTTGAGAGGCTCAACAGGAGCGGTGGAGCTTTTGTTTCCATGGGGACTCCTCGGTCCGTTACCTCCTCATCTGACCAATCACTGAAATTGTCCATTTGGACAGAGGGAGACGGCTCTTTTGTTTCCTGCAGCAGCACGAACATCAGGCCTCATTGAAGGCGGGGGGGTCCGGGGACCTTCTCTTCCCTCTTAATTGTGGAGGCTGAGGGGCCGATGACTCTTCCTCAGACACATCAGACTCTCCCTTCTCGCGAGCCGTTCCTCTCTTTCGCTCGAGCGCCTTCTTCTTGGCCCTTTCCCTGGGCGGGGGTACGGTTGGAGGGAACTTCTGCCAAGACGCTGGCCGGGGGGGCTCGGGGTTTGAAACGATCTCCTGCACAGCAGCCATGGTGTTGCCAACGGCGATGTCATCATCTTCTTTGCGACCCTTCTTCAGTCCCTTTCCTTTGCGACTTGGTCTTCTTTTGACCTCCTCGTGGACAATGTCGACGCTGACTAGCGCTAGAGGAGGGAGGAGGCGGAGGAGTGAGGGGGAGGAGTGGGCTCTCGCAGGTCTCTGCCTCTGCTTCGAGAGTCAGACGGGGGGTCAGCGAGGGGTTCTCCTCGTCTGTCGCCTCTGCTCCGTTCCACGCGAGGCTCTGGTTCCTCGTGGCGGCTGCCGCGAGTTTCCCTTTTCTCCCCGGCTCCTCTGCGCTCCTCCTCCTTCCAGTGACTCGGTTTCTCCTCAGACACAGGAGCCACCGGCGGAGTGCGCAGCAAAGGATCCTGGGGCCGCACCACCTGGCTCGGCACACGGTTCTTCTCTGAACCTGGAAATTAAACAAAACCACATCAGTATCTTTTCAGACCTACAGCAATCAACAGCCTTAGGCGCGTTCACACCGCAGTACTTTTCCCACAAAGGTTCATGAGAACTCTTTAGTTCTCAGGAACTAAGTTCAGATCGCGTTCACACCGGAATAAGTTCCCTGAGGGAGGATTAGGCAAATGAAGCCGCTGACGTCAATTCTTCTTCTTCTGCTTTGGGTTTACTGGCAGGCATCAAACAACTTCACGGCGTATACTGCTGCCCAAAGTCCCCGGCCGGAAGTCCCCGGAGTTGGGGTAAATCGCCAGAACGCCGACACCTCCTCATCTCCACCGCTCCCATGTTTTCTTTTGTGTTGCCATAAGTTAGTCTCTGCGTTTCTGCGCTGGGCTAATGCTAATGCTAATAATGCTAATGCGAGGATAATAAAATGGCGGCTTCACAAAACTTTTTGGGAGTTTTACGGGGCGTGGTTTGCAATCCGCCCAGCCAATCAGAAATAGGAACCTTTTTCTCCCACGAAAGTACCTGCTTTCTAACAGGGACTGAAAAGGGGGAGAAAAGATTCTCATTAACTAATTTTAGTTCCTTCTTGGTGTGAACGCAACATTTCGGAACTATATCGGAACTAAAGTGGGAAAAGTACTGCGGTGTGAACGCGCCTCTTGACTCTGGGTGACCATTGGAAGTAACTAATGTGTGGTATTAGCTATACAATGATTAACAGTGCAATGTTTTAGATGCCTTCCACAATAAACAGAAAGTGTGTCCCTACTGTCAGATGGATGCGGACACACTGGGTTCGGGAGGAGGGGCGGAGGGTGGAGCTTGGCCTGCCCCCGGCCAATTGGGCGCTCACTTTTCTCTTCCGCACTGTTGTAGCCGTCGCTCTCTGCAGGACTTAAGTCACGAGCTGTGCGCTTAGGCGAGGCACGGGGGCTCGGGCTGCTCTCCACTCTGGGCCTCTTACGACTACGGGGAATACAAAAAAAGATTATGAGGAAAAGGGCCAAAATGAACACTAGCAGTGGAGAGAAGCTACTTGTTATTTGGATACATGCCTGGCCTTCCTGTCGTCCCGGGTGTCTCTGACGGGTCGCTCGTCCCTGGGGTCATCCCTCCTGTCCCGTCTTTCCTCTCTCCCTCTCTCTCGCTCCTCCCATTCCCGCTGCCTCTCCCTCTCCCGCTGCTCCCGATCTCTCTCCCTGTCCCTCCTCTCCCTCTCCCGGTCCTCCCTCTCTTTCTCCCTCTCCTCGCGCTCCCGTTCCCTCTCTCGTTCTCTCTCCTTCTCCCGTTCCCGTTCCCTCTCTCTCTCCCGGGCCCTCTCCCTCTCCGCCTCCTTCTCTCGCTCCTTTTCCCTCTCGCGGTCTCGCTCCTTCTCCCTCTCTTTCTCCCTCTCTCTCTCCCGTTCCCTCTCCCTTTCTCTCTCTCTCTCTCTGTCCCGGTCGCGAGTCCTGTCGTCTCGCCGGTCTTCTGGTCGATCAGTCCGGCGCTCCTCCCTCCTCTCCTCCCTCTCGGGCTCTTCGGCTCTCCCCTGGTGTCGGTTTGGGGAGGCTGCTCTTTGATCTGGAAAAACAGAAAGTAAAAGCTTAGAACATTTCTTATACATAAACATAATAAAACAAATAAAAACAAAGTGCACCCTGACCTCCGGCTCTCTCCCGGATGTCTCTGCGCTCCCTCTCTCCGTGTCCTCCCCTCCGGTCGAACGAGGAGTCGCGGGCCGGCTCTCCTCTGCGCTCGCCTTCGTATCGATCTCGGTCCGAACCCCTCTCTGAGCTCCTCTCCGTAGCGCTGCGGTCCGTGCTCCTCTCGGCGCTCCGTTCCCTCACCGCGCTGCTCCGGGAGTCCCAGTTGTCGTGGCTGCTTTCCAGTTGGGATCCTCTGGAGTTTCTGTTTGAGCCTGAAAGGACACCAAATATCACTTAGAAAAGGGGAACACAAGCCTCTACCTGGGGAAAGCTACATGCGAGTATGGATGGGTACCGAGCCCCGGTATTAAAGGGGCCCCGGTGCTGAATTATTAAAGACCGTGGTACCGTTAAGCTCCGACGTATCGGTCTTTTTATCGGTACTGGAGACATATAATATATGTGTCATATGTATTATTGCTACACAAACATTATATTGCAGTTTTAGGTTCGCCAACTCCGTTTCTAACATGCAAAAAGACTGCAAAATGCGTCCATGATTATTTTTAGTATTTTCCATCTCTCTCCCCCGCCTGCTTGCGAGGGGGCGGGGCAGTTTACACACACGCGGCTGCTACATGCAGCAATATATTATATATACAGTCTATGGCAGCAACACACACGCGGAGGAGATGGCGGAGAGAACGCGCTCCGAGGTGTGGTTAAACTTGACCCGTCTCGATGTGGACAATGCTCGTTACCAAAAGTGCAATAAGAGTTTAGCATGTAAGGGCGGTAACACGAGCAGTTTGTCTAAACATTTAGCAAAAGTGCTCCACATCCAGACGGAGGAATGCACCGGGTTCCACTGTCTTTCTATAGCGCTGTAGCCCCATCCACGAGTAACGTTTCCACGTCAGGTGTTATGTATGCTAGCAGCAACACACGGAGTTAACTACATTATACAAACATGGGTTAATGATTAGAGGTAACTGAGTTATTTATTTAGTTAAAGTTTCAGCTATTCTGTTTACAGTTCTGTCATTAGATTATTTAATACGATTTGTTAAAACATTGTTGTTTCTTTTGATGTGAAATATTATGTATTTAATTTAAATAAAAAGCAATGTTAGTTTTGTTCACAATTTGTTTAGTGAGTTTACCTTTTTTATTTCTCCAAAAGAACCGATAACAGTACCGTTAAAAGACCGGACCGATAAGCGGTATCGATAAAAGTAGTAGTACCGTTAAAACCTTAACGATACCCATCCCTGCGAGTATCTCGACATAAACATAAGATATATATATTATTCTGAAATGGGCCAATCTACATAATGACTGTATTTGTATTTTGATGCCAATACTTTTTGATTACAGGACTTTGACATGTACCAGAGCATTACTAACACTCTGGTACTGCTACTTTAACAAGATCTGAATACTTTCCCATCCAGTGCTTACCTTTATCAGATGTCTCAGTCCCACGTCCTCTCCCTCGCCCATTCCTCTCCTCTCTGTCCGGCCTTGCCTCCGCTCTCCCTCCCTCTTCCCGTCCATGTCCTCTCCCATAGCTCCTGTCATCCTGAGCCGGCTCCTCCTTCCTCTCCCTTTCCCTTTCCCTTTCCTTTTCCCGCTCTCTCTCCTTCTCCTTCTCCTTCTCCTTCTCTTTCTCTTTCTCGCGGTCCCTCTCTCGTTCCCGTTCCCGGTCGCGGCGCTCTGGAGACTCTCGGGTGGGGCGGGTCTCCGTCCTGCTCTCTCTGGGGTCCTTGGCGTCTCTGGTATTGTCTCGGTTGTCACGGGTTGTTTCCCTTCCTCTGTCGCGAGTCTCCCTTCTCTCCCGAGCCTCTCTCGTCTCTCGGTCTTCCCGGGCGTCCCGTGACGAGACCTGCTCGGAGTCAAAGTCCCGGTCGTCGCGGACGCCTTCCTTCTCGCGTTTGCTGCGGCTTTCTGTTAATTACAGAGAAAAAACAACAACTGATGAAGGAAATGATCATTTGATCAATGAATTATCTAAATAGTTGCCGTCTCCACAACGTCTCTTTGAACAAGGAGTTACCGTCTCTGCGCTCAGGTCTGCGCTCCTGGGCGGGGGGGCTCCTCTCTCGTTCCCCCCGGCTCCTCTCTCGGCCTCTCGAGTGCCGCTGGCTGGGGCTGGATCTGTCGGAGCGGCGGGGGGGAGAGGAGGCGTCGTGGGAGGCGAGGGGGGATCGGGAACGCCGGGAGCTCTGAGGGGAGGAGGCAGAAGCCGGAGCTGCTGCGCTGCGATGATAGGCCGGGGAGGAGGAGCGACGGCGACGAGGGGGAGACTGAGAGTGTCGCTGGGCGGAGGAACCAGAGTGGGAGGAGGGGGAGTGCTGTCGGGGGGGAGTGGGGGTGCGCTGGTGCCGTGGAGGAGAGGGAGACCTGTGGGGACAAAAAGGATGGTTCAAATAAAACCTGGCTGCATTATTGAATAATAACGAATAAAGCCTGCCTAATCATATACAGTGGTTGTTACTAGGGCTGTCCCGAATACCA